TTATGGGTTATTTTCTGCCAAGTTCATGCTGGTCTTCCAAACTACGTGGTCTTCAACTCAGGAAAGGCTAAATGGATTTTCATCAAATTTGATGGAGGTTACACCATTGGAAGCTGAGTATGCTGTCATGAAACAGTAAAACTACTTAATAATGCAGCCAGTCGATACCAAATTGAAATATAAAAAATATTTTGAATAACTGGGAGAGCTGGACATAATTTATACATATGTGCTTATTTTCAGATGGAATATACTGGATCACATGTGAATGCTCTGATGAGAGACTTCCGTGCCAAATTTTTCCACTATGGAGAAGAGCACCGAAAGCAGCGAAAACTTCGGAAAGCTTTGGCACGAGAGGCATACATGCAGGCTATATCCCAGAGGGAGGAAGATGATGGAAATTGTGTAGGTCAAAATGAAGACAGAGACAGCAGTAGTTCAGAGAGATGACAGTAGCTGTCAGGTGGAGACTTGAGTTCTTCCTGGTAAGCACTGTACATCCTTGTTTCTATAACTGTAGAAAATTCATCTCTGGTATGAACCACTGTGGGCTCCAGTGGTAATTTTATTATGAATGTGTGAATATCCACATTTTCCAACTGGAACATGTTCAAATGTTGTACTTAAGGTGATTTTGAATTTTAAAACTTTCACATATTTCTGTTAAATTAGGCTTCTTTGGAATACTATCAGAAATTACATTTTAGATATGATTGGCCAATTTCTAAAAGCTGGCTAATCTTTTTTTAATGTTATTTATTTGTGGTTTGTAGCATAGAATGAGAGGATGATTGATGAATTATGAATTGGAAAGGGTATGGAATGAATCAGTTGTGCCCTATTTTAAAGTATCATCGTGGCATTTGTTTGGAGAGATTGAGGAGAACTGTGTAAATGTCAGTCATGATAGCTGGTCTCTAGGTCAAAATATAAACTTACTTCCAACTACTTCACTTATTGGAAGTATTGTTTACTCTCTCTGGCTAGTAGCCGCAGTAGGGAGCTAAGTTGTCAGTAGAGCAGGACCTATAAGTCTCTGCCATGATGCAAAAACAAGTTTTCATCTTGCTCCCAGCTACACCAGTTCTCTTGGTTGGTTCGCATGTTGTCAGTGGTTGCAACACTCATTGATGTGATACAGGTAATGTACTGTAAAAGGGATAATATTTCTATGGCTTCTGTTGCTGTCTGTATGACATGCTGAGAACAGTAAACAGTGAATCCGTTGATCCATGGTGTTGTCATGTGGAGGGAGGAAACAAATCACTTCTGACAGTACACTTGTTTAAATGATAAGTTGAATGCAAGACATAACAGGTACTGGTGATATATGTGTACATGTAATGACTTGACTACTGCAGAGTGGATTTTAATTTTGTCATTGGAGAGTTTTACTACAGTTTCTTGAGACATTACATTTTTGTTAAGATTTGTTAACAATAAAGGGGCCTTTGGTGATGACCTACATACAGTCTTGGCATGGACATGACTGAGTAGGCAACCCCTAGGGTACCTTAGTTACCATGATTACCTGAGGAATAATCTCCAGCCACCCACGTTTGGGAATCCTCCACGATTATGTCACTGCTCAGCCACACACCTTACCCATGTGAAGTTCACTGGCACCATTCACAAATGTCAAAAATATAATTTTTTCAAACATGCCAAAATTATTATGATATGCATTCATTTTCTAACTTGTTCTACTGAACACTTTAAGCCCAGACCATAAAACACATTTAAAGGGGGAGGGAAGTGGCATTTTTTATTTTGTGCACAGATTATCAGATACTATTTCAAAGCTTTTATGTGTTTGTCAGTAACATACTGTTTGATTTTAATTGTGCTGTCGGTCAATAATTCATTAACATGTTTGAGTAATTCACTGTCATTACCAATACTGCTATCATCACCATTATCATTACTCTCACTTTCATTGTCATGTCACTGATCACAAAATCCTCACTCTTACCCATTTCATTGTAAATTCCAGTAACATTGAAACCTTTCCCATAATTTCTGGAGAAATTGAGCGCCATGCTGTAAGGATCCATTCACGTTCTGTTGGCAATGGCATGCGCTTCAGTCTACCTCTAGGTCTCAGTTCATGCTTCATGGTTGTCTTCCAAAGGTTGCAAAAGCTTTGTCATCCCACTGGGGATTGCAACAAGATTAGAATCTTCATTTGCTTTCAGCCTTTCTGTCACATTTCCACGAAAGCTGTCTAAAATATAGCATGCTTGCTTAACAAAGCATCCATCTGCCTTTTCCACACCACATTCAGCCATTTGAGAATAAGTTCTTCAGTCATCCACCCTCTTTCTTGAACTCATTCAATAATTCCTGGTAGAAATTTGTCTTTTGAAAGTTTCCCCCCCCCCCTGAAAATTATAAATGGTGGCAACTTATGACCATCATAAATGATTGCCATTATCACTATGCATTACTGTCATTCTAACTTAAACTGACCTTTTGCCAACATGTTTAATAGTAGTCAATTCTGGCATGTCAAACCATAGATGGTCACTGGATAAAAGGTTAGCACTATAATTTGAGGCCATGTTTGTGAATTTTATGCTGTGATAATGTGGAATTTTTCCAAACATGTACCATTGTGGTCAAAGAGTTATTTATAACTTGGCTGGGGATTTAGAACAAACTAGATGACTTATGGAACCCAATGATTCATCACTGAACTAACCAAAGCCCTCCACCGGTCCCTGTCCTGGGCCAACAAAATCCAGTCTCCTTCATCTCCTATCTCCCATAGATCCTGCCTGACATTATCCTCCCATCTACGTCTAGGTCTCACCAGCGGTCTCTTCCCCTCAGGCTTCCCAACCAATGCCTGGTGCACACCTCTTGTCCCATCCATGCGCGCTACATGCCCAGCCCATCTCATTCTTCTCGACTTAATCACCCTGACAATACTGGGGGAGGAGTACAAATTTTTAAGCTCATCATTATGCAGCTTTCTCCATGCCCCATCGTCTTCTCTCTTGGGCCCAAATATCCTCCTCAACACCCTATTCTCAAACACCTGCAATCTGTGTTCCTCCCTCAGAGTGAGACCATGTTTTACACCCATAAAAAACAACAGGCAGATGTATTGTTTTGTATATTTAATCTTCAGGTTCTTAGAAATCAGACAGGAAGACAAAATATTTTGAACGGGGATTTAAAAACAAATTAAAATTTATGCTGTATGCATTGAAGAACTCTATAAAATAAACATTTTCTGTTCCATATTAGATATATTCTGTATTTTATTATATACATTTATCATCATATTACTATTGAGACCAGTCTGTTACATACATTACAAAACATGGCCTATCTTACCATTTTATCTGTCTTCATAAATGTCTTTTTCCGTTTAAAATAATTTTTGGAATTCTGACAGCCTATTTTGTTAATTCTATGCACGTTTCTTTATATAATTTATAATAGTTTTTACATTTCTAACATCAATACTTGTCCTAAAAACCTTGTACATTTCTGTGTTGCCTAATTGGAAAGCACCTGATCCAAGATTACACTTTTTTTTTGCATACATTAGCTGAGCAACTGAGCAATGTAAAACAATTTACCAACTAAAGAATTTACCCTCTGAAATATGGATACGTCAATTTGAAATTTCACTGTAGGTGACTGGACTAGAATCCTGGTTATTATTCTGACTGAAAATCGTAAGGCTCAGATTACTTCACACTCTGCGTTACTGTAGCACTACCATGCTCTGTTACAGAAAGAGAACTGAAAGGTATAAACATTCAGTTCAAAGTTGTATTGCTTTGTTATTCAGTTGACAGGTGGTAAACCTAACCCACATTATTATGAAGGTTTGGGTAAATATTTTCAAATTTAAAGGTGTGTTCATATACAGTTACTCTTGTGTTAACGATGTGTGTGTACCACCCAGAGTAAACAAGTTTGGAGCTTAATAAGTGTATTTACACTGGTTTTGGTGGTACAGTAAACCAACCAGTTGATAAAATCTGCAGTGAGTTTATCAGACCCTCCAGTGCTGCCGTCTGGTTTGATTTTCCACACTGCTCTTCATACCTGTCAATAAAGAGTAACATTTCAACTACTTTCTGCAGATGAAAATAACTTCAAGAGGACTGAATGGTTGCACAGTTTTTCCTTTCAAGGGGCCCACAGTGCTAAGTGTCATTTCTGTTATCTTTAATAATCTGGTATGAAGGTCATTCTCTGAGGGTCACCCTAACAAAATTTAAATTGTAAAGGATTTTCTGAATACTTTGGGAATTTCTGAAATGTCGGTAAACTTCCACCTACCTATGCAGAAGAAACTCACCTTCATATTTGTTGCTGTTAGAACCTCAAATCTCTCAAGTTTAACAGAGTTAATAGACACTGGTTTTGACTGCAAGGCTACTTCCTAACTTAGCTGAAAACAAAACATGTAGGGCAGGAGGCTAACTTAGGTTTGTGAGAATGAGATGTACTGTCATGATTCTCACCTGTTATTAATTTCGTTGAGGGCCCACTTTGCCAGTTTATTGTTTTCCTTCTTCTTGACTGATGTGCATTTAGTGGAGATGGCAATGTTGGTAGCAGACTGCAACAGAGACAGTACAGTCTGAGTAAGGTTTCCACTATATAGGGAGTTTGCAGGTAGACACCAAAATGCTGTCAGAATTTAACAGACATCGAATATACACCAATAAATTTTCCACTTTTTTTTTCTTAAAAATTAATAACAGCAAAAATGGTTTGCAAAGATTCTGCTGAAGAAATGGGTTTGTGTCATTTGAGATTTGTGACAGTTTATTCCTAACAAATGGAAAGATACTCAGTATTGAGATGTAACAGGCTAGTCCCTGCCCAATTAACTCTCTGAAGAATTATCTTAATGTAGGCCCATCATGGACACATATTCACAGTATTAATTTATTAATAAAAATTCATCACTGCACTTAATGTTTCTAGATTTGTGACTGATTCATCTGATGATCCAGCTCTTGAAATTCAGGTATCATGTACTAACTATTTTTGTAACTTGTTAGCTCAGTAGTAATATGTCAGAAGGACCCAAATTCAATTCTTGGCTGTGGAAACCAGTTTATATGGATTTAGGACAGGCATGTCAAAGTTATAGGCAATGGGCCACATGTGGTTCTCTGATGTTTCACATGGCCCAACAGTTCTTAAATTATAGGCCACATGTGGTTCTCTGATGTTTCACGTGGCCCAACACAGTTCTTAAATTATAAATGAAATGGAAATTTTTTCCAATGAAACTAACATTTGTGTGTGCTTGTGAGAAAATATAGGAAAGAAAAAATGTATCTGGAATTAATAAGAATAGGTGATTATGAATTGCCCACCCTTGTGATGGCCCCTGGAACAGGTACCTCTTATTAGAAACTTGAGTTTGACATGCCTGCTGATTGGTTATTATGATCCTCAAAACTGAGACCATACCTTCATATATATATATAAACTGCTCAAGGAAGACCTATACCACTGAGTTAATTTTATGTACTTCCAACATGTCTGTCACAGAGTTCATAATACGAATCATGCAAAACACAACAGCTCTCACCAGGAATAAGCCATAGAGGGCTCGAATGTTGTTGGGGCTAAGCTTCAGTGCCAGGCAGTAATGGGCTCGTGCCAACTCCATGTTTTCAAAGCCCCCCTGTTTAAAACAGGCAAATCACAACGCATTCAGCTTCAAGCATCAGTAGCCAAATAATAATAAAATAACAACTGTTCATACAAGACTTGATCAAAATGTTGGGTGAATGATTACATATTTATTGCCATTAATCCCCTTTAATGTACTCCCCTGACACACATACATGGTCTGAGTGCTCTTGCCACTGCTGGAAATATTATTGGAAGTCTTCTTTTCGAATGACCCATAGACAGTGCTGTTTGAAAAGATGTTTTCAGTCAACATTTTCTTCCCTTTCAGCATTTCTTTGAATTGGGGAAATAGCTAACAGTCACATGGTGACAGGTCAGGAGAGTAGGCTGGTTGTGATAACACTGGCATGTGGGGAGTGATGTGGCAAGGCGTGTTGTCATAATGGTGTACCCAACATTTCCACCATTTCTTTCATCTGGATGCCACTCTCTCAAAGGCAGCAAGATGTTTTTGTAAATCATGATCTTTTCTATTAACAGCATGCTCTGTGTTACATCCACTTCCAAATATAATGCTTGGCAGTGTAGGATGAAAAGAGTAGATTGGTGTAACTGTAACATTCTACACTCATATTTGAAATATTCTTTTCTGAATATGGCCAAGTAATAGATATCCTGACTATTCTGCATTGTCTACAGGAAATTTGTTGACAGCACATTAAAATAGTTATAAGCACCTGCTTCCTAATATACTCACCAATCATAATCATCTCCCAAATCTCCTCCTTATTTAACACTACACACCTCTGCAAGATATTGTAGGTGCGTCATATTGTGATTTATTTAAATAGTATTAAAAATATATTAAAATTGGCCGTCAATCACAATATAAGATAATTAAAAGATTAAAATATCATTTTTCGTTCCTTATCGAGTACTCGATTTACATGTGGAACATTTACGACATGTTTCGGCTATCAATAGTGCCATCATCAGGTGTTATGTTATATTTTTAATACACCTCTGCAGTTCAGTGTCATTAAATAACTAGTTAAAGTTCTGTTGGTTTCAGACACCCTTATACCTCCCTAACATATAGTTTGTATCTGTATAATAAGATAAGAATTTGTGACCTGTGTATAGCGTATGTCAGCATATCGCTGATGAATTAAGTGGCTATGTGGATTGTGCAGGATGAGCTCCTCCATACAGAAAGCTGCCCGAGCAAAGTCCTGTTCAAAGAGGTAAAGATCACACAACTCTTGCCAGGCCTCCAGATCACTCATAAACCTGCAACATATATATACACTTAACTTTTTTAGTTTCTCAAGAACTTAGGTTGTACAAACTAGAGAAAATAAGAATCATCAACTGAGTTACAAGAACCACTCTGCTTCTGTTTCAGAATATTCCTGTTTTCTATTATGTTGTCATGGCTTTGAGGTTTTAATTTTATAATCTTCATAAAACCATAAAACATTTCAAACTATCACTACGTAGATAGTAGTGTATCAGAGGTCTAAATGACATTCCAAATCCTTCTTTTCAACAGAACACTGTTTTGGTATCTGACACATAGCACACTTACTTTTTAAGATACTCGGCGAGTTCCTTAATTGCATCAGGAATCTTACCCCTTGCTCTGAGAATGGCAACACGACGTTTGCGAGGGGCTGCATTTGTGTCATCTTGCTTGATGATGGAGTCCAGCACATCTAGTGCCTCATCATACCTATCATGAAGTATAAGAAAAAGGTCTGAAAGGATTATCTCTGAACTCAGTACATCAAAGCATCATCAAATAGCCTACACAGATTCACATGCTAGTAAAGATTTTGTTCGTAGTCTTATTGGTTGTGATGCTGTATAGTCTTGAAGGTGGTTACCACAATTTTTTTTAAACCTGAAGATGGAGGTGATACAGTCCTTTGAAACATTAGTAACTACCTACAAGATTACAATAACATAAATTAAAATAGACTGTATAAGTCTGTATTAAAGTTAAAATCTTAAAAAGCCATATTAAGTGACATTATCTTTCCAGATTAGTCTTGATTGATGTAGAAAAAAATTTGAGTGATGGTGACAATGAATGTAAAAGTGATAATGTAGTCCTAAAGAATCAGGTAAATGATCTGCAGACTTGAATGGAAGAGCATACTGAGCTTCCCAGACAGAAGCCGCAGAGTTAATCTCGTCTGTCTGGCCTGGTTTTCACAAGGAATCCATGGAGTTGTGTTATGTGGCTCCTCACTAGAAATCCATGAGATGTTATGCTGACAGTTACTTCTGCAACACAGCACTGCATTTCAATACAGGCTGAAGTAAACCAAGATTCTGCCGACAACAGAGTCATTGTAACAGGCAAGCACAAAAATGATGTTACAACCAAGCTCCTGTGGCCTCAAGAAATCAAGAATGCCTATGTTTGGAGTAAGGAGTACTACTATGCTTCTTGTTTCTTCTTTTTCTCACTGCTGACCCAGCCTTCTTCCTTGCCACCTTGTTTGGAAACTCCCTATTGGCTTGGACAGTTTTCCCCTCATTTGACTCTGGCCTATTCCCCCTAGCCTGCTTTTCCTCTGATCCTGTATATATATCTCTCCACTTCCTATCTTTTTCAACTGCCCTACTCTGTTGAAAGAAGCAACAGAAACTTTCATGAGAGAAGGCTAACCAGCAGTATTATTCTATATGGCTATAGCCTCTGACACCATTTTGGTATAAGGTCTCCTTTAAAAGTTTACTGTCTTAAATTTCCTCTCTTATGTGGTGAAAATTTATCTTCTTTTTTACTGTCAAGATGCGTCTGCTTCATCAGCTAGTCTCTAAAAGTAGCTCCTGTTCCAATTTATATTCTATTCCCCAAAAATTCATACCATTATGACAAAAATTAAATTGTATTATACTGACAGAAATAGTCTTATACTAATTCTCACTAGTGTATGTAGAATACACAAGCAAGTTTCTATGTTGGAGACGTCCAGCACTGCTTTGGTTCACCGACCTCCAAACATCCACCACCTCATCTCCTCACTGCTGGCACACTGTTAATACATTATGCAGGTCAGGAACATGAATCAGAACTAATTGTAAACTAAAAAGTGACAGTGGAACCACGGTTCCGGAGAATTTGACGTAAATACGTCTCTGTAATGTAAAGTAGTGAAATGTAATGTAATGTTATCTTCAATGTCATCCATCTTCTTATGAAAGCGGATTGTTGACGGCAGTAATATAACACAACAATGCCGAGTAAACAGATGATGTTTCCTAGGTAACAACAATGCATGCAAGCTAACCATTGTTACACATTTTTGCCGAATGACCCTTCCGTATAGACGTATTTACGTCAAAAGAATACATTAATCTTTCATTTAGTGCACTTGCATTCAAGATTCTAATGAGACAAACCTTTCCAAAGCTTCTAACTTTAAGGCCTTCAACTTCCTAATGCGCAGGCTAGTAGGAAACTCAGTTGAGAGGGCTTTGAGGCATGCATCAGCCACTTCAAGCCTGTTGCAGTCTAGGGATGCCACACATACTTGCTCCAACACTAGGAGTCCTGAACACATAAATAAACATTAAAGCCCAAGTTTTTTGTTCAGAATGGCATCCTTACAACACAATTTACCCAAGTGTGTGGGTATTACATGTTAATATCACAAAGAAATGCAACTTACTTTCATCACCAAGTTTGTGTATTTTCTTCTGTAGTATTCTTTCCCACAAGTCAACTACTTCTGTGCTCTTGCGTACATTTTCTTCTCTCCACAATCTAAATAAATCTTGTACCTCTAGAAAATCAAAACATGTATTGCAGTGGAGCAGACACTTTGAGAAGCTATAAGTTACATTTCACAAAGGACAAAAATATTGAAATGTTACACTAAATCCACTGCTATACAATGTTTCTAAACTAGAAATTCATCAACAGGGGTTCTTTAAATTAAACACACTTGTAAATTTTGGAACTTGGCAGCTGCGTTTACACGTAGTATTTACTGAATTATACTATTACTTGACACCATAAGGTAAAAATTTCCTTCCTGCCACCTTGGCTGGAAAACTGATGTATAGATGCATGTTTGTGTAAAAATTACTCACAGATGCCAACAAACGCTTTCCATATAACTACATAACGCTAAAAGTACGAAGACATCTTGTATCATTCCCTCATTACAAAATGAATAGTCTTAACCTAACCACACAAACACGTCTGATATTACATAATCATTGTACTACCATAACATTCATTACATTGTTTATAGAATTTATAACGTCTCATATTTAAGTACCGTACTCACCTGACCAATTCATTTTGTTAGAATATAAGTCCATTTGTCTGGTAGTGTCTGTATGGATGAAGACAAATATCTTTCGCTTACACCAGGCTCCTACAAACAATTACGTTGTTCTTCTAAGGTTAGGTTCATCGACAGCTGCTAATGTCAGAGAACTGATACTTCACGAACGCACTCCAACAGGGGCCCGTTCATGTACAAGGTATAGAGTGTCGGGAATTTGTTGGTGTGTGTAGTCAGTGAACTTGTAATATTTACGCTGATTTGCACTATACCTTTGTTGCAACTATTAATAACATAGCTTTTACACCACGTAAAATATACAATTTTAGTAAATGTTACTAAAACATTTGTGGGAAACAATGATTATAGGGCAGAATTCAGAACTCTGACCTGTAATCAACTTTTAGAACTAAAATTTTTCTGCTCGATGAGTTTTTATGGATTGCCGATCGAGACTATATGTTTGTAATTTTATTTACTTATTTATTGTACAGTCTAAGCTTTTAACGATGAGGATAATTTAGGAAAAAGTTTTATAATGCCATAAGTTGTTCATGGAAAGTTATTCTAGAGTCTAAAAATGTTTTAGCAGTTAAAGTCAGACATGTGAGTGATAAAAGAAGATTTTTTCACAAATAAAACCAACGGAAGGAGGTTGCAATGGAGAATGGGTTGAGCCCTGTTTCTTGTCCTGTGTGTACTCTGTACATGCGGGAAGGTGTTACATTACAAAGCCATCTTGACACTCATCCCAAGGATCAAGTTATTGCTGCACTGGTTAGAATTTCTGCAGGAGGCAGCATCAGTGCCATAGAAAACCAAAGTGATAATGAAACTATGCCAGTTGTCATACCCGAAAATGCTCCTTGCAGTCAGGAACCATTATCAGGTCCTCAGTGCTTTCCACCGAGCAGCAGTCACTTTACAACAGCCATAACATACCAACAGTTCTTGAGTAGCAATGGCTCTGCCTCAAGTACTGTAATCCCACAGTATGTCTCCATGCCTGCCATACTGTCAGCACCCAGTACCAGTCATTCAGCCACAAATCAAGCCGCTTTTATGCAAATGCTGTATAACCCTTACATGATTCAACAGCAGCAGCAACAATTTCAGTTGCTGAGCTCAGTAACTTCCCCTTCACAGCCACAGTCTTTCATACGTCATGTGGTTCCATCTTATCCCACACATCATGTTTCCCAGTCACAAATGAATCTTTCTTCCAATTCAATTCCTCTCAGTGCTTCATATCAAACCAGTGATTTTCCTGCAGACTGTGCTCCACAAGGTTTCCAGAATACAAGTAATATAACACCTTCTTCACTTACTCTTCCAGCTTCCTCTTCCAATTCTTTCCCTCATTCCACATTGTCCTGTTCTGTATCTTCACCAGTATCAGCAAGAGGTACCATTCCAACTGGCTATTTGCTCCCCTCAGTAGGGGAGCATGCTGCTAATCAAATTGAACAAGGTATTGTAAACAAACCAAGAACACCGCCATCAGATCAACACAGAAACGTTTCCATTTTGAATGGAATAGCCCAGTATTCGAAGCAGCAGCTGGAAGAAGAAACTGCCATAGAAAATGTTCCTGAAGAAAATTTGTTTCCAGATAGAAACTTATCTAGTAGTACAGGTGGTGTGAGTGCAGTGTACAATGGTGTGGCCACACAAACGAGTGACATGCAGTATGAATATGAGGACCAGAAGAGCCCCTACATATCTAAGGATGAAGAGGCAGCTGTTACTCTAGATGGTGTAATTGGCATGCAGCAAGAACTGCCAAGGAGTGAATCTGTAAATGTGAGGGTGAGGAAGGATCTGAATGACATGGCAGTCAGTCCAATGGTGCAGTCACATGATTCTGGGTCTGAAGAGAGTACAGAGAACGAGTATTCTGATATGAGGAATGAGGATATGACACAAATATCAGGTATTATTAGGAATGCTCTGAGAATCCAGCCGCCTCCGATCAGTGTAGCAGACAGTGATGAGTACATCACATCTGACAGGCAGTACTCTGGGCAGGATGACCCAAGTGAAGAAGAACCAGCTGTGAAAGAGTTATCAGAAACAGGTGAAGACAAGTGTGACAAGCCTGATGAGACAAATGAGGAAAGTGGCAACAGGTTTCTTGATCTGGATTCATCTGAGGCTGTTAACGTAATTGAAATAGATGGGATTCGTATCCTTCTGCCATCACAGTTCCTGGAAAGTCCACCCTCATTGTCTGGGGGTAAGAAGCGTCCAGCAGAAAAACCTTCTACTTCCAGACCACTTGGCCTGTCCAATCCTTCTGAAGAAGAAATTCAGCCGCCCAAAGAGTCTGAACCAGAAGCAACCCCAGTGCCAAGTTTGAACATCCAAACAGATGAAACAATGCCACCTCGAGGAGAGCTATCAGAACAGGAGAGTGTTGGGGGCAGTGACAGCTCTGTATGGGTGCAGGTGAGTTGCTTAAGCTCTGCTCTTCAATTTTATGAGGTTTCATATTTCAAAAATTTACTTCTAAATTTCTCAGATTCAGAATATGCATAAAATTCAGTGAATGACTTAACATGGGGAAGGCAAGGAAGGTTGCCAAGCCATAGCACTTGCAACATCTTGCCCTTCCCATCTTTCCATACCTTCTTGCTGTGACATAGTTCAGGCTTAAAGAAATTTTATATCCAGTATAATTTTATTCTTTCAATTTTCATGTTTTTTTGTTATATTCATACAGTGTCCAATATGAATTATAAATTCCTCCTAGTTGCACAAAACCCAAAAAATGTTGGTGACCACCGGGATAGGATATGCTGGTGGGCTTCTGTAACATGATCATGAATCTTAAGGTTTCATAAAAGGCAGAGAATGTTTTGATCAGCTGAGTGACTCTTAATTTCTCAAGGATTTTGCACCACAGAGTCAGTTGTACACAGTGGTAACTTCATGCACTTATGTCTACAGTTAGTAAAATTTTCATTTTATATGTTGGTGGAAGAAAAATCTCCGCTCAGTTCTCCATTCTAACAATCTTTCCTTTTCAGTTTCATTTCCTGTTCCTCTCGTATCTATACGTTTGTGTGGAACTGTCTCTGTCCTCTGATTTAAATTCAGACATGAACAAATGCCATTAGAAATTTCCTGTCTTGGTAATTTTAAACTTTGTCATCACTAATGCTAGTATGTCAGAAGTATGACTACTACTACTACTACTACTACGACTACTACTATGGCGTAACAGCCCAAAATCGAGCCCTAGCCTCCTCAGAAGTATGACACTAGCACCATTTAGTAATTTACCTAGAAATTCTGTATGATGATGGGGTCTTGAAAGGAATGCACCTTTTATGAAGGTGTACTTTTAGTAAAGGTAAAGGATGGATTGTTACGTGACCTGGTGACATATTCCATAAATGGCTACTTAACTGCTAGTAGTATGATTTGCATTAGCCTGTCTTTCTCACTTTATCAAGTTCATCAGAATTTTTTCAGGTAGAGCAGTGTTGTTTCATAGACTGATTGATGATAGTGATATCTCTGCAGTGTTGTATGTAGCGAAAGTGTAGTCTAATCTAGTCAGGTGTTTCCATTGTAGAACTTTTACATAGGTCTGTAGTTTCACACTAGGGAGGCCCTGGGAATCATCACAATTCATTTGACTTTACATAATCTGAGCAGTTGCAAATAATTGTGTCAGGATAAACAATCAGTACAGAGTTCTTTTATTTTCTTAGCATATGCCCAAAATGAATTTCATCCTTTCTGTAAGATATAAAACAATTCTGTGTTTTATTTGTGGCAGGCATTTCGAGAGAAGGAAGTATCAACATCATATGACCTGGCAGCTAGAGAGAGTTGGTTGGCTTCAGATGGCTCAGATGCAGATGTAATTCTGGAGAGTGAGGCCACAGCATCTGTCATCAATAAGCAGGACAAATCTGGGACAAGCAGCCAGGAGAAGAGGAAAGGACAAGCAGATAGGGTTTATAAATGTGGGACATGTGGGGAACCATTCAACTGTCCAAAAGAACGGCGTGTTCATAGGAGCACATATCATTCTGATAAGAGTGCAAACAGTGAAGAAGTGTCAGCAAGTGGGGATAAAGTCAGAATGGACGTAGTGTCAAGAAAACAAGTTCATAAGCGGAAGGCAAGAATTAAGAAAGTGATAAAGGAAGAAGAAGATGATAAGTATTGTGTGAAGACAGAAAAGCCACAATTCATGGAAGTGTTCCTTGAAGAGGATACAGAGACGAAGATGGAGGCTGAAGGTGGATCTGAAGTGGGAGAAGAGCTCTCAGAGAATGTTTCAGCTGCAGTTGATAAAATGGAGGCTGGAGAGGTGCCAAAACCAGAACCTGCATTAGATGCAGCTGCCGCCTTTCCTTGTAATATGTGTACAGAGGTATTTACATCTTCCAAGCTGCGGAGTGATCATGAAGTTAAGGTACACAAGAAACCCAAAGACAAGAAGAATGTATGTGCCACTTGCAAAGAAGTCTTTACTAAGGATTGTGATTACCAAGCACATCTTCAGACACATCCTCTTGAATGTTCTCAGTGTGGAAAATATTTCTATAGGCGTCAGAACCTCGATTTACACTTAAAACGTCATCTAGGTATCAAGCCCCACAAATGCACCATATGTGACAAAGCATTTGTAACAAAACAGAAGTTGGCGGAACATACCAACTCTCACACTGGCAATGCTCCTATCAAATGCCCGCTTTGTGATGAGACATTCAGGAGGTATAGCAACCTCATCCAGCATAAGCATCGACATCACATGAATGTCAAGAAGAAGGTGAAGGACTTCATCTGCCACTGTGGTGAGATATTCCACTCAAAGAAGAAGCTGGAGTGGCACAAAGAGATACATGAAGAGAAGCCAAAATGTTGCAGTTATTGCAGTGAGCGCTTTGTTCATGCATCGAGTCTCACAAGACACATTCGCAAAGCACATGATTGCCGTTATGTGCCAAAGTGTGGGCGTGAAGTGGAGAATGTGGAGTGCAAAATGTGTGGATATGTATTCTTGAAAAGTTCACTGCCAGTACACATGCGCATGCACAGTGGAGAGCGTCCTTATTCCTGTCATGTGTGTGGGAAGGACTTTACTACCAAGTGGAACCTGCAGCTGCACCGGTGGACTCATGCAGCACGCAGTTCAAAGCCCTTCAAGTGTTCTTTGTGCAAGAGTGCATTCTTTCGTCGTAATGATTACACAGCGCACATGCATTCGCATCGCAACATCCGGCCATACACTTGCAATCACTGTGGTTGCCAGTTCATCCGCAAGTATAATTGTCTGCGTCACGTGAGGGAGCATGAGGTTGGAAAGTCTTTCAGTTGTAATGTCTGTGGGAAATTGTTTCATCGTAGTTATTACCTGAAGGAACACTTACGTGTGCACAGTGGGTCTCGTCCATTTGCCTGCCACATTTGTGGGAAGGCTTCCAGTACCAAGTCAAACCACAATAAACATGTAAAAATTCACCATGCTCGAGAGCCAGTCAATACAGAGGGCTAAGCTATAAATTAAATTCACTTTACTCTATGCCGTATTTATTCAAGTACAGCTGTGCTTGAACACGGTATAAACCCCTGCTAAAAAGAAATCAAGACGAAAACTTCTTTATTAACGCTAAGTTCTCCTGCCTTCAAACCCATTATATTTGTTATGTGTAGTGTACTGAATTGTCATCATCATCTTCCCATTTGTATGATGATGCATTTCCTGTTTAGAATGGCCTGAAACAAGATGATTTTCACTATTGATTTTAAATTCTGCTTTAGAATACACCACCAGAAAGGTCCAAGAAAACAAAAAGAGGGATTGAAATTGAATGGGACACATCACCTTATTATGGTTTATGCTGATATGTTATTAGGTGAAAGCATAAATATCAGAAAGAAAAACAGAAGCAGATAAAGAGGTTATTCTAGAAGTAAACATTGAGAAAACAAAGTATTTGTTCATGTCTCTTTACCAGACTACAGGACAAAATCTGTGTGTAAAGGTAGCTGATAAATCATTAAAAACTGTGGCAGAGTTCAAATATTTGGGAACAAAAGCAGCAAATCAAAATTGCATTTATGAGGAAATTAAGAGGATATTAAATTTTGGATTGGTTGCTGCCATGCAGTTCAGTATTTTCTGTCATCCTGTTGGCTATCTAAAAATGTAACGGGGAACTCATCTCCAGTCGTCAGTAATATTTATATGGAGCATTTTGAGAAATTAGCTGTAGACACAACTGACCACAAACCAGCCACCTGGTTGAGATATGTCAATGATACATTTGTGGTTTGGTCGCATGATCTGGCGAGATTACAGGAATTCTTTCACCTTCTTAACAGTCTCAGACCGACAACACAATTTACCATGGAGGTGGAAAATAATGATACTCTTCCATTTCTGGATGTTTTGGTCGTGAAAAATGGTTCTAGTTTACTTACAGATGTATACAGGAAACCCACACATACAGAATGATATTTAAATTTAAAATTTAATCACCCACTCCACGTGAAAAGGGGAGTAGTTCACAGTCTGGTTAATAGAGCAAAAATCATATGTCAAGAGAAAAACAATTTCAACAGAGAAATCAGGATCATCAAACAGGATTTGGCTCTTAATGGGTATCCTCAGCAGTTAATTGACTCTATTATTAAGTTTGAAAAAACATCCGGCCTTCTCCTGACAGAACACCCCTGGGTAAGGTGGTTATCCCATATGTCAGAGGTGTTTCAGAAAAATTTAGGAGAATTGGGAACAGTTATAATATCAGGACGATTTTTAAAACCAGTCACACTCTCCATGGTATATTGATGACTACGAGACCCAGCATAGTCGAGAGACAGACTAGGCAGTATGTGTAGAGGATCCCTTGTGATTGTGGTAGGTGGTATATTGGTGAAACCAGCAGACCTCTGGAGGTACGCATTAAGGAACGTAAATATAACTTCAGACAGGGTCTGCTGGAGAAATCCAGATTGACCCAACATGCGTATGAAGAAGATCATCATGTCTGTTGGGATGGAGCCAGGGTGTTACTAACTGAACCTAATACGATCTACAGGAAATACAAGTAGGTGGCACACATGGCACTACTAGCCAATCCGATCAGCCTATCAGCCAGCCTAGTTTGGACTTATCTCATATTTGGATTCCGGTCATCTCGGTAGAAGTCAAAGTGGTGCAGCATGTTTCAACTTAATGGTCATATGTAGTTATTCCCACCTTTTTTGAGTCTTTGTTTTTATTTGGCTTTTGGCATTTCTCACGTTTAACTATTTGAGTGTCAACTATTTTTATTTTACTAGAGCAGAGCGCTCCTTTCGGAGCTCCTCGGGGGGCGTCAATTTTTTAAACGCAACCAACCTTGAGTAAGAAACTAAACTCCCCCCGAATGGGGATTAAAACACTTGACCAACCCCCACCCCTTCGGGGGGGTTGGATGTGTTTTAAAATCTTAAGTAACACACTAAACTAACCCCGCTGTCTCTATCTGATATTTTACTTCTTTACGTCGCTGTTGAGAGGCCAACTGTTCTTGGTCAGTCAACTTTCTACGTCCAGCCCCACCCTTGCAAATCTTCGTCTTAAAATCGATCATAATAGTTTTCGTAATCGTAATATATCGAATGAGTATCACTTTACCTTGTTGCGGTTGTTGGATTTGGTACTTCAAATACTTGATAACGTCTTCTTTCACTTTTCTGATGTTTTAGGCCAACTGTCAGTCAATATTCAAGAATGCGATGTGCTGCTGGAGCAGTGATAATGCGACTGGCTTGATAGTTTTTGATCTCTTTGTTGTGAAGCGGTATTTGTTTACTCGGCATTGTTGTGGAACACAACAATGCCGAGTAAACAATTATCTGTTGGCATTGTTGATGACGTCATTTCTTGAAGACAACGACTAATCACAAATTTTTATAGTAGATTCATTTACTGTCTTGGTCGGTTTTTGACTTCGTAGTTTTCTGGACTCTGGTTTTTCTTTACTTCCATAATAGGAGCCTGATTTTTATATTTGTTTTTACATCCCACGGATATTCTTATAATCCGGGACTTTCACTTTTTACTTTGTCTGGAGATAGGGATTAGCTCTTATCTATTGGGCCCAACAGAGTAGGTACCTGAAGACGGAGATAGAGCCCCATCTCCGAAACGTCGTTTTACGTTTTATATTTACTAGACGATGGAAAATATCCAAAGAACGTTTTATTTAAATAACTCACCATCGTCACAAACTTTTAGATTTGATATAAAAATGTAAAGATTAAAATATTTACCTTTTGTTTGGTAGGAGAATATTTTTACCTAAGAGGGATTAAGGAACAGGAGGATGGAGAAAATTAGCATAGTGAGGTGCTGCATAATTTATCTTTTTATTCCTTATATAATTTCTGTGTTTGTGGGTCAGCTTTTGCATTGGAGTCTTCAACTTTATCAGCCCATTCTTGCATTTCATCTGTCTTCATTGTCTTGTCCTCTTTTTCAGCTTCATCTTCTTAATTTTAGGCACTGTTATGCAGTGATTGTTTTGATGACTAGATCGATATACACAACTGTTTTTTTCTTGTCTATTCGTTCCATTATATACTTCAGTCTATCATGAGACCATCTTAAGGTGGTGCTATCATATTTCCAGGATACAAATGGACTGTGTTTTTCAAACATGTACAGGGATTACAGTATTTAAAACAATAAAACTTATTATAAAAATATTTTTTAAGCTAAAATCTTATTTGCATAACATTATGTTTCCCAATTACTACATTCAAGGATCCTTGTCATAGTTTGCATTTATTTTATGCATTACTTATTGACTAAATGTTGGTGTAGATTTTTTGTTGCAAGTTGGTCTGTCACATGTTAATGGTTAATTTTCTGTTATTGGGGCCAAGTGAAGTATGTGTCATGTGGACCGATGTCTCCGATGTTATTGGCTTATGAGTTATAAGGAAGAACAATCTGGAATTACAACCAAGTTTTCCTTGTTAGGCTTGTACCTATATTTATTTTGGATTATCTAATGAAAGATTTGTGATTATTAAATTGAGATGTAAGTCTTGTACTATAGAATAATATGTTGAATGAACTGAATGTTGTGTTAAAGGAACAATGTAGAGTAGAAACAATAGAAGTGGTATCAGTGTTTATGTTTTTTCTCAGAATTACTGGAGAGAGAATAGAAGTACTATATCTGTGAACATATCAAGAGTATTGCATTTGATTGAAGGGTTAAAGAAAGGGTTAATATTAATGAAACAGAAGCATTGAAGATTTTCAGCAGAATATAATTGGCTTTTATAATCCATTATAATATGATATAAAATCCAAATATGACACAATAGGACATGAGGAGGGTGTAGTTATGGTTCTAAAAAGAGATAGACTTCTGTACAACTGGTGTGTGCCAGAGGTGATGTATAAGGCTACTGGTAAGGGACTGTGTGTTGATTAGGGAACTACAGGAATTCGGTTTTTATCAAGATGTCATTGATAGGGTTGGCGTGGTTGGTATGTTTCTTGATTGCCTGAACCATATAGTGGAAGGAATAGACAAGAAAAAATAAGTAGTTGTGTAAATGGCTCTAGTCATCTATTTAACTTGATCTGTTCACCGAGTTCATGGTTTCCCCCTATGAATTACGCTCATTTTCATATCCAGTAATATTTTTTATATTTTATGATATTATTTAAACATGTTCAAACCATCTAAATCTGCTTATCTCAAGTTGGTTCTGTATTTCATTCACTTTGAACTCTCTGCTAAAATATGTGTTTCTAATTCTGTCTGTCTTGGTTTCCCACTATACCCCTCTAGAACTCAATCTCACCACCAGAGCAGGTAATTTCTTAATACCTAAAAAGTACTCTTCTCTGTGGAGTTAATTGATAAATTATTCAGCTCAACTTTAAAGTTGGGTTGGGTACTGTAAGCCTGTTCGTATGTTCAGAACTTTCAAAACTTACCTTTCCATCTACTTGTATATCTTCCCACACCTTCCTGTCTTATGAGATAATATAAGCGTGCTGTTCTTGGATATCTAGTACTTTGTGTCTGTATTTTCACAATCTGTGAAGTAGGATTTTGGCCAACTCTGTATATACCAAAAAATAATTAAAAACCAAAGGAATTAAGGTTTCAAGGAAACAAGAAATCACCCATGTGACATATGACATTGACAATTTTTGTTTTCAACGACAGATGATAATTTACAGGGTAGGTGTGAAATTGAGATCCTAATATCAAACAATTTCAGAAACAAAAATGAAAAGGAACTGATATACATGGAAAGCATTGGCAACAAACTAAAATCATTATAAGTTATCATTCTGTTCATGCATGGCAACTGTAATTTGTTACTGGCATGTCTCCATTGACTTCTTTGGGCTGGTGATAAATGATGCTTGAATGTGTTCCATATTGGAATCTATTATTTTTGATCTGCTACTCCTTGACCGGGATGCTTACATACAAGCACACACTATTTCCATGAACCTCTTATACCACTGATGCACATTCTTCCTGCTAGATGTTCAGTTTGGAATGTTGTTCAGAATGTTTTCATGACAGTTGCAGACTATGTTCTGTGAAACCAAATTGTGGAGTAAGCTATTCTCAGGATCTGTAAAAGGCTCCATCTTGGCCAGCATTGCCTGCACCACCATCTCGTAAGTGTTGTGTTCTTTTCAGGGTCAACTAATTCAAGAGACACTCATTTACCATGATACCTGAAGTGTTTCCTCATTCTGTGCATGTCATGGCTTTCTGTATTTTCACAATATTTGATTAAAGTTGCCTAGTAGGTTTGGCCCACATCCTGTACACAGTTCTGTGCATTATGCTTTGTGAAAAGAAATAACTGGTATATCATAGCTGTCAAGCAATGTGTGTTTATGGCTTTGTTTAGGTAATTTCTTAGTTTCTAACATTTAAACTCCTTTTTTTTAAATTCTTTCATGAACATTCAAATTGTAGATATCATTATGTTGATTTGCTTGAAATACTCTTAAAATCAAGAGTCCACAAACAAAACACAGCTCAAATTTATTTTGTTAAATTACTTTGCCAGAGTTTTGATTGGTTTTGGTGAAGGCTGAATGCACCCAAAAGTTAACCCTTGAACATAATACACAGCCATATTTTCAGAACAATATTTTTTGAATAGCATTTTCATGTGGTATTTGAATAAATACGGCGTTTATTTTTGAACATGATGTATAGTTCAAACTATGTAGGGATTTTAGGAATTATG